AAGGCATTGACTTCATTATAAGATAGTAAGAGGGACTAGCGGTTACCAAAGGGGGAGGGGGAGGGGAGGGTGGGGGAGGAGGGAGGGAGAAGGGGATTGAAGGGCATTATGATTGGCACACATGGTGTGTTTAGGGGTCCCGGGGAAGACAGTGTAGCACAGAGAAGACAAGTGGTGACTCTGTGGCATCTTACTACACTAATGGACAGTGATTGCAATGGGGTGTGTATAGGGGGGACTTGATAATATGGGTGACTGTAGTAGCCACAATGTTTTTCATGTGAAACCTTCATAAGATTGTATATTAATGATACCTTAAAAAATTTTAAAATTAAAATTAAAAAAAGAGAGAAAAAAAAAGACTGGGCAGTAACAGCACAGTGATCATTGCTCACACTGCTGTGTGGTATATAGAAAAGTTGTTAAGAGAGTAGAGCCTGAAAGTTCTCATCAGAAGAGTTTTTCTTTCTTTCTCTCTTTCTTTTTCTTTTTTTTGTATGTATATGAAATGATGGATGTTAACTAAACTTATTGTGGTGATCATTTCACAATATATGCGAGTCAGATCATGACATACACCTTAAACTTACACAGTGCTATATGTCAATTATATCTCAATAAAACTAGAAAAGAAAAGCCCATAGTTAACCATACCTCAACCTCAGCATTTTTTTAATACTAACCCTAGGGCATTCTAACAGGTGTAATTCAAAAAGAAGTTCCATAGTCAGATAAGTTTGTGAATATCAGATTAAACAAAGATAACAGAATTCTCAGGGTTTTTATCATGTTAATGAACATTGTGAATCTGTATGGGGGTCATATGGTATGGGAGTATTCCCAAATTTATTTGAAAATGGAATTCTTTTATAATAGTGCATTGTGATGACCTAGCCTTCTGTGGAACACACTTTGGGAAATACTGCTGTAATTTAATATTAATATTTGGGATATATTTTTATCTGGGCGACCACATGAATATTTTGCATCTTCAAATAGCAGCACCTAATGCATGTTACTCCTCTCCTACTATGTGCAGAGGATTTCAACAGTGATAACAGGATAAATAAGCAGCTCATATCCTTTATGAATCTGCTATACAGCCCAAATACACAGATTGTAGATTTTTTGTAAATATTCAATATTTACAATTGTGTAAATATTCAAAGGAGAGCCCTCTACTAATTTACAGAAAATGAGAGCATCCTACCTTCTTATCCTGAGGTCAAGATGGCCTGTCAAGGCTCTGGGCAACTAGAAGAGAAGTGTTGAAATCAATGTCAATTATAGTAACAAGGAACAAGTTCCTTATTGGTACACAAAGCAGTTTGCCTTATCCTCTATTGGAAATAAAGTACAAAAGTTATTTGGCTGTGAGGGAAGAGCCTAAACGGCTAAGACTTTCAGTATCTAGAGCTTTCAGGAAGCATGCTGCTCTGGATAGTGGCGTTGCCTTGGTTGTTAGGGTTTGCCCTGAATGTTCATGTTGAAAAGTGTATTCTTTTGGCGAGTTTTTTGTAAACTGTGCATCATACTGCCTTGTCATTGTCACTAAGGACACAGAACATAACAGCCTGTCCTTTGGGATTTGAGACTTTTGGTATTTTTGTCAACACTTTCACTCTACTGTGGGGTCTGCCGTGATGTGTCATGTACAAAATCTTCTCCATCAGCAGGGTTTTGTTTTGTCTTTCTATATCATTCTGGCCAGCAACTGTTACTTCTCATTCTGTCCCCACTCCAGCCTCTTGCAGCCCCTATTTTGTTTTCTAATTTTCTTGTCTCCCCACCTCATGTAATTTACTTCATGTTAACATCCTAACTTCCTGTAGCTTGTTAAGCAGACCATTAGAATCTATCTTAAAACCAGAATAGTCTAGATAGAGTTCTTTGAGAAAACTGCACAGATTTTAACTGTGTAGAGGTGTTTGGGTTATTTCTATTTTTAGTTTTTTAAACGTATTCTAGGTAGGTGAGTTAGCCAGATAGCTGAGTTTTTTAAATAAATTGAGTCAGTTTATTCAGACTAGAATTCTAATTCAGTTACCTAATGGCCCCTGGCCTTTTAATGGATAAGGCAAACACCTTTCATTCAAAAACATCTCAAGGAATTTTTACGCTTTTGAATTTCGATCACACCTTGTGGCGCAGAGGTAAATTCTAACGATTGTAGTGTGGCTCTTCAACCACTCGGAAGAGATGCGTACAGCAGTCTGGTGAACTTGCTGAGTTCACACACTGAAACCTCTGGGGAGTAAGAAACGTCCAACTTTTAATTAGTCTCCCTCTCTCTTCACCAAATATTTCCTTCACTTGCCAAACTAATACTAAATAAATTAGTGAAGGTTATTTCCTTATTAAAGATAACCCCAGTTAGTGGATGTCATAGCTAATGTTACATGTCAACTTGACTGGGCCATGAGGTGCCCAGATATTTTGTCAAACAATATTCTGGATGTTTCAGAATAAGTGAGTGAGAATGTTTCAGGTTTGAGATTAACATTTGAATCAGTATTCTGAGTAAAGCAGAATGCTCTCCCTAATTTGGGTGGGCCTCATCTAAACCATTGAGGACCTGCATAGAACAAAAATCCTGACCCTCTTCCCAGTAAGGGAGAGGTCCTTCTATATGACTGCCTTCAAATTGGGAAATCATCTATTTCCTGCCTTCAGACTTCAACTGAAACATGGGATCTTCCTGGGTCCTGAGCCTCCAGCATTCAGAATGGAACCACACCATCGGCTCCCCTGGGTCTCCAGCTTGCTGGCTCACCCTGCATATTTTGGGACTTGTCAGCCTCCATGATTGTATAAGCTGGAGCCAATTCCTTACAATAAATCTCTCTCTCTCTCTCTCTACATATATGTGTATATGTATATTTATGCATCTCCTATTGGCTCTGTTTCTCTGGAGAACCCTGATGCAGGGGATATACTCTTATGTCAACTAATTCAAGAAAAAAGTGCTCCCCCAAAGACCTATCACTTCTCCAGGAGGAAAATCCCCTTTTGAACAGGTTGGTTATGCAGAATTCATAAAAGATTATGGATTTTTGTTGCCTAAAAAAGTAAATTTCAATGTTGAAAAATTCCAGCCCTGAGATACTAAATTTCTGGAAGGCAGGTGTGATTCCAGTTTTGCTTATAGCTCTAGTACAGTGACTAGCACAGCAGAAATTAAAATTTAACATTATTTGATGCCAATATAAGAATGATGATAACCAATAAATCTTAGGAAACTTGTGATAAAGCAAACAAAACAATGTTCTGGGCACTCAGAAGTGATAGGATTTATTGATGTCAGCCCCTGAATGGAGATCTTTTCTTGCCGAGGCTACAAAAAGCTGGGCTGTGTATTCATCACTGACTGTGGGTTTAGTTTTTTATCTCTGCTCTGCAGCTCTCACCTGCTTTTCCCTTCTGCCCTCTCCTGTCCCAGCAGCAGTGCTAAACACAACTCCACCTCATCCTGGACATATCCTGTTTTTTCTGATCCAATAAAGGAAGGCCTGTGGAGCTGCGCTCTCTCTGGCAGCTGAGTATCTTGGGTCCTTCCTTCAGGCTCCACCTCCCACATCATCCACCAGTGGGGACTCCACAGCTCTTACCAAGAGCTGTTTTTCCATCCTAGGAGTTGACCTCATTGTTCCTGAGGCTGGAGCCATCTATAAGCTGCCTTTTGCCAATTTGGGAGTTTATTGCAGTTTTGCATTTGTGGCAAGGGAGAGTCAGCCTGCACCGTTGTTTTTTTTGTCATTAAGACAGTATTAGCAACCTCCTTTCTATGCTTCTGAGCATGAACATGGCTGAAAACACAGAAGTGCCACTTGCATGTCACACATTGACCTAATCAGTGGATTCTAGTTTAGGAAGCTTGATGTCATTTATGAAACTTGCCAGAGTGCGTAGCTCTGTTTCCTGTTCTTGCAGCCCAGCACTACTTTTTGGCTCATTTGAGCCTCTGTCATGAGTTGCCACATAAACATTGTCTGGTGCTGTCATTTCCTGGCAGTGAACAATTATTCCACATTGCCTCAGGATGCTCTCAGTGTCCCTCTTGTGGTATCTGAACAGTTCTCAATAAGCAAATGTATAGAGAGTCAATTTTTTGGAGAAGATAGGCAGGAACAAACCCAGTGTGTTTTCTTGAAAAGAGTGCCAAATGCGGTCCCAGGAGCAGGGCTACATGGCTTTGATAGTAGAGGAAGTGGCCCCCACCCACTTACCACTTAGTTGTCACAGCCCTACATGTGTCTTCCTTTTCCTTCCCTACCTAACACTATGAGGTGGAGGAAGGTGACAGCAGTTGTTTCTATTTTTCATAGCCACTGACCAGCCTGCCCACATAAGTGTCTGCTGGACACCACCACATACTCTCAGCCACCCAGCTAATCAGCTGTCTCTCTAGATTTTTTTCCACTGATATGCACTGGGTTTGTGGCCATAGCCCTAATTTTAGTACCTCAATTCCTTCATTATTTAAATGAATTTAATAATGATCCATCCAAGTTGGATTTTGCATCCTTAGGATAGAAAGTGTTATATTAGTCAAAATAGGTTTCTTCAGATGGACAAATATTAGGAATAATTAATTTGACTTATTACCTTAGTAATTCATTAAATATAGAACTAATATTTATTTAACATGTACTTTGCATGTATCATGGTGCTACGTGCTCATTGTGGTTTAACTACATATTATATATTGCTCAGTAAATCTGCATCTTTGAGAAGTTAATAACACTATTTCAAATGGTAAATGACAAATGTCTGTTCAATACTAAATTCTCGATAATAGGAATTTAAATAGAACAAAGGGATAAAAAGTGAACAATTTTATTCAGACTTGTTTTTAGAAACAAGGACTAGGTATAATGTTAGTAATTAATGTGTGAACTTTATTAAAAAGAGACTAATTAATCCTTGCCATATACAAACCATTGACCTGAAGCAAAAATGTTACCTAAACCTAAATTGCTTCTTTCTCTTGTTCCTTGTAGGAAAGGAAGACTCCAGACGTTTGTAAGAGTCATTTTTGGTTCCCAGAAAAAAGAAATCATGAAACAAAGAGAATTAAGACTCAGATCTCCGTAGGTTACTTGTTACCCCTGTTCAGCGACAATGAGGATGGAGAGCTGGGGAGATTATAGAGACACTTTAGTTTCTAGAGCTTGGGCTGCTGCTAATATACCTGGTGAGACACCTACAGACCCCAGGATCGCCATGACACCCCTTTTGCAAAGACACTACTCCCTAGGAACATCTTTATCGTTTTGTGTAATTTTTCTTTATCTTCTGTAATTTCTACGGAGGCCCTTTCTTTCTCTCATTTTCCATGTAAATGAAGTAAAGACAACAGTTAGAACCCATAACTTCACAGGCTTTGAAATTCTATTTTGTTCATACCGCCACAGTTAAATGATTTCTGAATTGTTGCTTTCCTTTCAGCAAATGAGTTTCATTAATCTGAACATCAGAGAATGCGGTTCTGTGGGCCAATACATTAGTGCTTAGCAGGCTCAGCTATCTCCTTAATAACCCTGTCTTCACACTCGTGTCTTTTAAACTGTTGAAGGTTTCAGCAATGCAATAATCTCAGCAACAGTAAATATTAGGGACTGCGGATTCCCAGAGCCCTGAAGTCCAGCTATGCGAATCTGCGCTAGTGTTTCCATGGTGCAGAATAAAAGTCACGGCAGGGTCTTGGAAGCAAGCGGCATTGCTACGAGCGTCATCCCTGTTATGCCTTTCACAAAGCCCACTTGCTGTGAGACAGTGAAAACAGGGCTGCAGGGGAGATCGCGGAGCGCGAGCCCTAGCAGCCGGACGCCCTGAGCGCAGAGGAAGGGGACCTTGGGAACCGGTAGGAAAGCCCGGTCGCCGTCTGGAGCCCTCCTGAGGTCGCTTACTTAGCCCCCCAGGGTCAGGAGGTCCCTGGGGTGAGGAACGGCCCCCTAAGCTGCTTCAGGGCTGGCAGCTTCCCTCCTCAAGACCCCGAGGAGCGAGACGTTCTCATGCAGTGATTCCCTGCTACCCCCAAATAGTCGTGCAGGCGGGCGGAAGCAGCCAAAGCCTGGCACTGAGCGAAGGGTCTCCGCCTTATTACTGGCAACACGGTCACTGGAGCCGCCCCGCACCTTTAGAGCTGGTCCCGCGGGCCCCGCCCTAGCAACCTCCCCTAGCAACGACCCGACCGGCTCCGCGCGCTTATCTGCCTGCGCCAGGCGCTTCCGGCTCTCCTCCCCCCGCCGGCAGCTCGCGGTCCGCCACGTGATCGGCCCGGAGGCTGGGCGGGGCAGCGGAAGGCGCGGAGGCGGGGCGACGGGAGGCGCGGCGCGTCATCTAGGTGCGTCGCGGTTGCTGCGCCCGTTCTCCACGGTCCCGAGGCTCGCGGACTACGGAAAATGGCGGAGTCCGCGTTGTTCGTGTGGCTCTGCGGCCCCGGTTTCGGGTGCAAGGCGGTCCGGTGGGGCTCAGCCCCGTGCTCCGTGCTCGATTTTATCCACCGACACCGCCAAGATCAGGTGAGGGTCGTGGGTCCTGGAAGGAAAGGGGAAGGGGTGGGAAGGATTGGGTGCAGAGATGGTCTGTCGGGGGCGCGTCTTTGAGGTTTTCAGTTTTTGAGGTTGAGGGTTCCTCTGTCTTAAGGTGCTTCAAAAACTGATGATAAGGCCTTCTTTTGCAGTTTTTGTTTTGTGGCGGTGGTGGTTTGTTCTTCTCCCAGAAGGGAGGAGGAAAAAAAAAAAACCTTCTGCCCTCAGGCTCGTAGTCCAACCCCGCGTCTGGACTAACAGAAAACGCCTGGTAACCAGATGACTTTTAGGGCTCATTTCCTTTCATTTTCCTTACATTCATTCTGTGATTGTGTGACGTGTATTTTGACCACTCATCACACAGACCTTTCAGCCTACGAGAAGTATGTCATATCCAAACTCAGGCCAAAGGACGGCTGGGGAGGGAAATGGATTCGACTGGTCACTGGCTGGGGCCAAGCACTTAAACACGTGTCCTTCTGAGAGCACGGGTTCTTAGGGCCTGCTATTTGGGTATTTTCACCAATCATTGGATGGTCTCATTTGTCCATGCGTATTTTTGAAAACCTGTTATGAACTTACAAAGTTACATATGTGTGTTTCACCTAATTATCAAGCAAGCAGGCTTACCAACTATGAGTTATTAAACCTGTTTAGTTATCTAAAGAATTTGGTGGTCTCCCTGAATCTAATTTTAGTTTTGGCACTTGATCTAGTTCTCTGTTTTTCTTTATATCCACATCTCCAGTGTGCTTTGCTCGGCTGTTCCCTCTGCTTGTTATTTATAGGCTTAACTAAACGTGTTAACAGTGCAGTCTAAACCAAATCTTTACTTGGATTGGTTCCATGAAGAAGCAAAGTGTGCTTGCAAATCATGCGGTTTTTCAGCTTTCCCATTTTTCGTCCTATACTGCAATCCATTCTAAAAACTGTCAGACCTGTTTTTGACCATTTGGATGTGGCTTTATTTTACAAAATAGTTAGATTTTAATATTTCTGAAAATAACTCATCTCTTGAGTACAATTTTCAAACTTAGATTTGATTCAAAGTGAGACCAGAAAAAAAAAAGATCTTAATTATGAGGAGTATTGGGGAAAAAATTTTAAATTAGAAGCCAGAAATATAAATGGATTCAGTCAGGTTCTCAAGAAACATGACCATAACAAGTGTGAACAGAAATAAAAAACTTATAAAAGGGCATTTTTATGAGATACTAGAACAAATAAAAATAGGCTAAAGTTCACACCTATGTTTTTTACAACAAAACTCTTCTAATACATGATAAATTTAGTGTTAGCTTTCACTGTGAGAGTAAAAATCTGCCCTGCTGTTCATCGCGCTGGGATAACAAACACAGATAACGCCAGCTGCAAAGGTGACAGGAAACAGTGTTTCTCCCAGGGACATGTGCAGGGGTGCAGTGTCCTAATGACTCCCTTTAAAGTCGGCTGCTTTCTTATTCACTGAGAAATCTTGATCTCAAAAATTACAGACTCTAAGAAACTTTGCTGTTTGAAGTTCTGTCAGGAAGAATGAAGTGTCCCACTCTTGCCTGGAGACTCTACCTCACTTTGATGTAGAGAAGCACTCTCGATTTCCACCGTGCAGAGCTGCAGATTAGGTTCTGAACTCAACATTCCACATTTATCTTAACTCTGGAGTTTTCAAGGAGACAGGAGCCTGGATTGACTTCCCCTTTTATACACAGCCCTGCTTTGTCTTGAGCTGCTCAGATTTCACCTCAACTCTACCCTTACCCCAAATCTTCTAATAACTCTATTTGTTGTGGGTGAAACATTCCCTGATTCTCTGGTGTGCAGCCCTCCTTGTTGCAGTGAGTCAATAAATTTGACTTTGTTGGACTACAGGTTTGTCTCCAGTGGTCTTAGGCTGATTGAGTTTGAAGTGCCTTATAACACAAATGGTTCAAAACAGTTAACTAACTCTAAATGTTCTTTGTTCTTTTTTTCTACTAGTGGTTATTAATTGACAAGAATCTTAACTAAAAAATGCTATTTTGTTGATTAGTTGTCTTGTTTAAAAAGCAGTTGTTTGGAAATGAAGTATGATATATAATCTTTCTGCCTTCATGTTAATGTGTAATAAAGTTATTTAGAATTTTAGAAATACCATATCCATTAGACATATAAAATATTAAAATAAACTAAGGTAAGCCTTTAGTTTATAAGCATTAAACAAATACAAGGTTATTACATATCTCATTTAATCTTTACAACAGCTCTTTAAAGTAGTACTTTACAGACAGCAGTAGTCCTTCATGTTAATCACATTATTGCATAGAGCCTGAGTTCCTGTGCTCATCTGTCTTGAGATCACATTTGCCTGGGAAAACTCCAGTCCAACTCTCCACCCATTCTGTGTATCATCTGGGCAGTGACTGTGGTTGGGAAATTAAAATCACACAAAGCAGTGTCACTATGAACTCACAAACACAACCTTCGTGCTTCTTAGCAGCTCCCCAGTGTTTCCCTAATCCATTGTGGGCTTCCCGTGGGTTGGGAGACTGCGGAGAATGTTGATCAAGGTAGCCCTCAGGCAGCTGGACAGAATCCAGCGGTGTCTCAGTAGCTCTGCTTGTTTCCTCCAGAGTGCCACCCACATTTTTCATGTGTGTGATAGCATGGTGTGAAATGGGTTGGGAGGCATGCTTAGTTCACTACTCTTTCACATTAAATCTCATTCTTCTTTCATCCCCAGGACCATACTTTGTTACTTTGTTTTCCCTAAGAAAGTACAAGGCAGTAAGGAGGGAATTTCCTTGTCCTCATACCTGTCATACTTGTCATATATTCAGCCTTCTCTTTTTTTTTCCTTTTTTCTTTGATTTTTATCATAAATCTGTTTTTTTTACACTCTTTTTAAAAATTTTGTTATCATTAATCTACAATTACATGAAGAACAGTATATTTACTAGGCTCTCCCCTTCACCAACCCCCCCCCAACAAACCCCATTACAGTCACTGTCCATCAGCATAGTAAGATGTTGTAGAATCACTACTTGTCTACTCTGTGTTGCACAACCCTCCCCTTTCCCCC